CTATGAGACTGAAGCTGCAGAAGAAAGAGGGAATAACTGGGGGAGAAAGGCCTTAGGGGAAACAGAAGAGGGTGAGATTTAGAATCCGGGTGGAGACTGAGCCCAGAACAAGGGTTTTTATTTGCTATCAGGTAGCTAGCTCTGTCTCATAGTGACCTTATGTATAAAAGAATGTTAATAATCTGGGCCATCTTCACGATTACCACTATGATGAGCCAATTGTGGTTATTGGATCATTTCTCTTTGAAGATTCTTTCACTTTTCTGCTCTTCCACCTTATCAACCATGATGTCCTTGTCAGTGTTTGATCTTTTCTGGTGATACGGCCAAAGAAAATGAGCAAAAATCTCACCATCCTCTCTTCTACAATTGATTTGTTTAACCTTCACTACAAAATATACAGAATTACCAACACAGAAGGAGAGAAGTAAAATACCTTTACTGAGAATTGAGGGGATAAGGGAGCGAGGGCATGGGATGCAGCTCTCTTGAGGGTGGGGGAGCTAAGAGACTGCATTTCTAAAAGCCTACTTTTCTTTGGAAATGGGAGGCAGGCGAGGGTGGAAATCAAGCAGAAAGTTTGCACGAAGTGAAGAGAATTTGAAATAGTTGTTACAGACAAAACAGATTTCTAAATATTTGCTACATAAAGTTGAGACCATGACCAGCATCATTAACCAGAGTGGCAACAAATTCCATGAGGAACTGCCCCAGCAAACATAGGCAATTAACTGGAATTTTTTCATTAGATTTCCAGGTGCAGTTATACGGACGTGCATCATAGGCATGCTTCATTTTATTGCACTTCACTTCGTTGTGCTTCACAGATAGAATTTTTTTCACGTGAAATGTTTGTAGTAAACCTGCACCAAGCGAGTCTGTCAGTGCCAGTTTCCCACTAGCATCTATTCACTCTGTCTCTCTGTGTAAGTTTTGACAATTCTCACAATATTTAAAATATTTTCATGACACTATTGCACACTCAATGCCCAAACAAACCAAAACCGTGCTGTTGAATCAATTCCAGTGCACACTGACCAGAGTTCTGAGGCTGTAAATCATTACAGGAGTAGCAGGTGGTGAGTTCAAACAACCAACTTCTTAGTTAATAACACAACACGTAACACACTACTTCACCAAGCCTCCTTTAATAGACTACAGTGTTGTTGCTGCTGCTGTTGTGTGTCTTCAAGTCAGAACTGACTCACCATTGACCCTCCAGTGGGTTTTCAGAGGCAGTAAATCACACAAGAGGAATGAGATTACCCATCCTTCTCCTATGGAATAGCTGGTGGATTTGAATCCTGTGCCTTTGGGAGTGCAGTACAGCTTCTTACCACTAGCCCAGTGTAAACGTAACTTTTCTATGCACTGGTAAACCAAAAAATTTTAGTAGCTCGATTGTGATATTTGCTTTATTGTGCTGGTCTATTATTTAGCCAATCTCCATGTATAATGATACATTCTAACAATATATGTGATTAAGCTGGCTAATTACACATATTAAGACAGATAATCACACGTATCGTAACAGAAATGAGTTCCTGCATTGTCCTTCATTTTAAAGAATCTTTTTTATTTGGCCATAATTACGATTCACAGGAAAGCATGAAGATAACACAGAGAGGTCCAATGTTCCCTTCTTCAAATTTTCCCTGATAAGTTTAATTTTATGTAATTATTACCAGTTACCAGTTTCTATGTAGCCAACTCCAGTTCATGATAACCCCATTCTTGTCAGAGAACGGTGCTCCTTCTATAGGCTGGCTGAGTTTCCCAGCATAGATCTCCAGGCTTTTGTTCCAAGGTTCCTCTGAGTGATTTGAATCACTGGCTTTTCAGTTAGCAGCTGAGCACATTGGCTATTCGCACTCCCTAAGCTCTCTCTATATACATACCCACTGCCCTCCAGTCACTTCTCACTAATTATGACTCTGTTTCAGGTTTCCAAGGTTGTAAATATTTAAAGGAGGTTACTACACGTCTTTCTCCCACAGAGTGTTTGGGAGTTTAGAACCAATAGCTTTAGGCTATCTGGTTGATATATAATGTAAACAACTCCTTACATTATAATACAATTAAAAATCCTGGAAATTTATGCTGGTACAAAGTATATTATCTGAAGAGAGAAAACCATACATAGAGGCACAGGGCCATGAGTATCTCTCTGAAAGGGCCAGAGAGAATAAGAACAGTACAGCCCTTCACTGCCCCAGAGTAGAAAACAGATAAAGAGCCTGTAGCCCAGCTCCTGGTACCTCTAGTGCCAGAGGAACAGCAAGAGGTTCGTTTATTCTTTGCTGATTCACAGACTCAGTTATGGTACCAACAATGAGGTTTATTAGGGAAGGAAGTTGGAGAGTGAGGGAGGCAAAAAATATCACCCAAAATAAGTCCAGGTTTTAGACCAAGTTCCAAGGCACAATTCCTCAATTAGTCTAGGCTCTGGTTTCAGTTCAGCAGTCAAATCCAAATCATCCACCAAGTTTTGCTTCCAAGCAAACAAGCATCCAGCAAGTTATATAAGTTAGCTCCTTCAACCATCTGGCAATAACAGCAAACACCTTTAACTGTGGCCTTTATCTCAGAGCTCCTCTGCTTACACCTTGCACAGTTTCTCTACAGCAATGCCACAGTTTCTCCACCAAGACCAGAGTCTTGCCATCAGAGTCTGCTCTAGTCTCCCTCAAGTCTTGCTGTTCAGTGTAGGAAGCATTCTTTTATTCTAGTCCCATAGCTGTTGGTGATTTGCAAGATTATGCTGATTTGCACGACCATGTGTCTGCAGTTAAGGTAGTTGAAGACCAGAGGGGGCTAACTGTAATGGCTTTAAAAAGCCAACTTTTAGGCTAACACCACATGTATGTCTATTTCTATGCCACTTTATCATGTATATAGATTTGTGTAACCATTACTGCAATCAACATAAAGGTCTATTCCATCACAACAAAGATTTATCATATACTGTCCTTTAGAGTCCTACCCATACTGCTTCCAGGCCCTGGGAACCACTGATCCATCTTCTGTTTCTCTAATTCTTTCATTTTGAGAATGTTATAGAAATGGAAGCTCTGCTGAAATCTGTCCAAGAAAGTAAATTTAAAAACTAAGTAAGGTGCACCTGACTCAAGCCATGTTTTTTCCCCCATTGATTTGTATGTGTGTAAGGATATTGTATGGATAGTGTATAAGGAAGACTGAAGAATCATTGATGCCTTTGCATTGTGGTGCTGGCAAAGAGTAGTGACTGTCCCATGGGCTCACAAAAGAATAAACAACATATAAGGGAAATCATACAATATGCAACCTTTCGAGATTCATCTAAACTGTGTGTGCATTAATGGTTTACTCCTTTTTATCGCTGAGTTTGTATTCTATGGCATGGATAAATCATCGCATAACCATTTATCTATTTAAGGATACTTTGCATCTTTTCAGTTTCAAGGCAAGTGACATCATTATGAAAAATTAGATACAAGTTATTATGGACATGAATGTTATTTCTCTAGGATAAATCCCTGGAGTACTAGGACGTGTATTTTTATTTTGTTATTTTTTGAAGAAACTGCCAAACTATTTTCCAGAATGGTTGCGCTATTGATCATCCCTAGCAACAACAGGTGAGTGATCTTCTTGACATCCTGCCGACATTTGGTATCATCACTATTTTGGTTGTTGTTTGTTGTTAGTGGTTTTAGAGTTGATTCTAGCTCTTGGCAACACCATGTATGTAGAGTAGATTTTCCTCAGAGAGTTTTTAAGGCAGTGATGTTTCAGAAACACATTGGTAGGCCTGGTGCTAGGTAAGCTTGAACCATCAATCTTTTGGTTAGTGGTCAAGTACTTGACTGTTTGCACTTAGTGATTCTTGTAGGTATAGTTGTTGTTTTGTGCCATTGAACCAGAATCTGCTCATAGGTGACCCTCCAGCAGGTTTTCAAAAAGTACACAGCAAGAGGTTGTCCATCTTTCTCCCACAGAGCAGCTGATGTATTTGAACCATGTGCCTTTGGGATTACAGTTCAACTTCTCCCTACTAGGCCGCCAGAGCTCCCTTATAGGTGTTGGTGTGTATCAGTGAGTCAGGACTGACCCACTGTTGACACTTCGGTGGATTTTCAGATGCTGTTAATTACACAGGAGATTACCCACCTTTCTCTTATAGAGTAACTGGTGATTTGAACTTCATGCCTTCAGAATTGCTGCACAGTTTTTTGCCACTAGACTACCAGAGTGCTCCTCCTATAGGTGTAGAGTGATATTATATTGTTGTTATGTGCTGTCTAGTGGCCTGCGACTCATAGCGACCCTATGAACAACATCTTTGAACTCTGTTCTATCCTGAGCCAACCTTATTGTCTCTGACACACCTACCCCCATTACCCCAGCCACTGAATCAATCCATCTCATCCAGGGTGTTCCTCTCTTGTGTTGTCCCTCCATCCTCCCAAGCATGATGTCCCTCTTCAAGGACTGGTTCCCCTCACGACATGCTCAAAGTATGTCAGAAGGAGCTTCAAAGTCCTTGCCTCCAAGGAGCAGCCTGGTTTCACCCTCTCCAGGATGAACCTGTTTGTTCTCCAAACATATTTTGGCATATTAAATATTCTTCTCCATCACCACAGCTCAAAGGCATAAATTCTCCTTCTTTCATCCCTTGTCATTGTCCAGCTTTCTGATGCATAGTAAGTAATTGCAAAGACCACGCCCAGCCTCCCAGAGGATCTGTTCTGCATATAGATTGAAAAGGTATGGAGCTAGGACACATCCCTGGTATACACCCTTCTCAATTTTGAACCATGCAGTATTTCCTTGCTCTGTTCTGACAACTGCCTCCTAATTTGTTTTTCCCTCATGAATTTAGCAGAGGCTGTGGCACCAGGGATATCATTACCAGTGTCAGGTAGATTTGGGCAAAGTAGAAAGTAGAATGTTTATGTATGCTTTACTATGTTTTGTTTGTTTGTTTTTTAGTTTTGTGTTTTATTTATTTAAGAAGTTCAGGCCTTGACTGCATATTTCCACAGTGGGTGCAGGCCCTTTTTTTGCTGCTGCTTATTGATTTTTAGGTTCTCATTGTGCTTGTTGAGCCTTCGGCGCGTGGCACGTGTTTTCTTGGGGTGCAGATCCAGGGGTTTGTACTTCTTGTCCTTATAGTATTTTCCGAGGTTCTCCTTCTGAGTCTGGTTAATAACAGTGAGAACACGGGCAATGGATTTTCGGACAATTCAGATTTTGGAGAGCTTAGAAGCTGCACCGCCTGTCACTTTGGCGACGTGCAGATGGGAAAGTTCTACTTTCAGATTGTCCAGCTGTTTCAACAACTCCTCCTTTTTCTTGCTGCGAAGGTCCTGAGCCTTGATTTTGACCATGGCTGAGCAATAAAACGTGGCTGCCTCCTGATCCAAGCCCAAGAGAAAGAACTTATTGACTATGTTATGGTATTGACTGTGTGGCTCTAGAGCATAGCGATTTGTAGCTAACATTGAGAAGAATGGGAATCCCAGAACACTTAACTGTGCTAATACAAAACCTATAGTTGCACCAATACTCTGTTGTGTGAATAGTGCAAGGGAACACTACATGGTTTAAAATTAAGAAAGGTGCACATCAGGGTTGTATCCTCTCTCCATCCCTATTCAATCTGTAGGCTGAGCAAATTATTAGAGAATGTGGGCTCTATGAAGAAGAATGTGGCATCAGCATTGGAGGAAGACTCATCAACAGCCTGCATTATGACACAACGCTGCTTGCTGAAAATGAGGAGAACTTGAAACACATAGTGCAAAAGATCAAGCGCAGCAACATTCAATATGAATTGCATCTCAACCTCAAGAAAACAAAGTGTCACTTCTGGATTTATAAGCAACATCATGATAGGTGGAGTTAAGATTGAAGCTGTCAGAAAATTCATTTTACTTGCAGCCACAATCAATGCACTTGATATAAGTAGTCAAGAGAGCAGGAGATGTATTGCACTGGGAAAGTCTGTAGTTATGGACCTCTTCAAATTATTGAAGAGCAAGGATGTTAGTTTGAGGACTAAGGTGCACCTGGTCCAGGCCATCATCTTTTCAGTCATTTATTATGCATCTGAGATCTGACAATGAATAAGGATGACAGAAGAGTTGATGTCTTTGAGCTGTGGTGTTGGAGAAGAGTACTGACTATCTCGTTGTCAAAGTAACAAACATGTGCTTTGGACAAGGTGCAGCTAGAGTGCTCCTTGGAGGCAAGGATGGCTTTGTCTCACATCCTTTGTGCATGTTGCTAGGAATGACTATTTCTTGGAGAAGGATGTCATGCTTGGAAAGGTGGAGGGTCCACCACAAGAAGATAAATGTAAACAATCCAATAGCAAAATGGACACAGGATATGAACAGACACTTCACCGGAGAAGACATTCAGATGGCCAACAAGCACATGAAGAAATGTTCAAAATCCCTAGCTCTAAGAGAGATACAAATCAAAACAACTATGAGATATCATCTCACCTCAGTCAGAATAGCAAAATTTAACAGAACAGCTAGCAACAAATGCTGGCGAGGTTGTGGAGAAACTGGAACCCTTATTCACTGTTGGTGGGAGTGTAAAATGGTGCAACCCCTGTGGAAGGTGGTGTGGTGTTTTCTCAAAAAGTTGCAAATAGAGATACCATTTGACCCAGCAATTCCACTACTGGGAATATACCTCAAAGAGACCATAACTGACACCCAAGCAGATATATGCACACCCATGTTTATTGTGGCTTTGTTCACAATAGCAAGGAGTTGGAAACAACCTAAGTGCCCATCAACAAATGAATGGATAGAGAAGTTCTGGTATATTCACAGAATGGAATACTATGCTGCATTTAAAAACAAGGAACTCATGAAATATTATTCAAAATGGGTGACCCTGGAGGACATTATGCTGAGTGAAACATCTCAGTCACACAGGGACAAATACTGTATAATGCCACTGTTATAAAATGGGACTGACCTTGGAGTCGGGGGGAGACTGATATTATTGTCAAGACAGGAGTCCAGAACGAAGGCTACAGAGTGGAGTGCACCTGGGCGGAGGGATTGTAAAACAATGAAATAATTTTTCTTTTACTTTTCCAAGAGTAAAAAAAGAGTACTAGGGGTGAGGGTTGGGAGGGGAGAAAAGTGCAACAATGAATGAATGAATGGAAATCCAAAGTCTCTGTAAATTTTCATTAAAATGAATAAAAAATGATTAATTAAAATAAAGAAAGGTGAGGGTCAGTTAAAGAGAGGACGATCCTCAACCAGGTGGGTTGACACAATGACTGCAACAATGGCTTGAGTGTGTCAGAGATTGTGAGGATGAGGATGGCACAGGATAGGACAGGGTTCAGATCTGTTATTCATAGGGTTGCTATGAGTCATGCTCAACTTGATGGCACCTAACAACCCAGCAACAATGGGTAGTGGTGTAGAATCTCTTAATGCACAGACATAAAGTTTAAAGTTGGTTTCAGGGTTGTTGTTTTTTTTTGTTTGTTTGGTTTTGGTTTTTTTTGTAGGTCATCTTACTTTCTCCAAAGCTCAATTTTCTCATCAATAAAGCCAGGAAATTGTCTCTATGACTTGTAAGGAGCCTCACCACTCTAACATCCTATCCCTGAGATTACCCTGGGTGAGCTTGTTTGCAAGGCAAGGAGATTTCACTTTACCCGTGTTTATCATCTATCCCTCCTCTCCAAAGAGTTGTCAAGCCTGGAATCTTTACCCATGGACTTTATTAACATTTCCATGAAAAGTGTTACATCTCCTCATGTCCTTTATTTGACGGTCAACTCTGGTCTGCATTTAAATTACATCATCAGAGTCTGAGCAGAAAGATTCAGACTCCTAAAAACTTATAAGGTGATTGACTAATTTTCTAATGAATTGCAAAGAAGTTTGTATTCTTCAGTTCCCCAAATCCACAAAAGGGCAGTTCTGAGCGGGCTGCACTTTATTATTTCCATTAAGCATTGACTAGATTTGTACTCAGAGACCTCTCCAAAGTACGGAAGAGCAATTATGCCAGTCTGGAGACTAAAGTGCACCTGATACAGGCCATGGTCTTTGCAATAACTTGCTATGCATCAGAAAGCTGGACAAGGTCTAGGGATGATAGAAGGAGAATTGATGCCTTTGAGCAATGATGCTAGCGAAGAGTATTGACTATACCATGGACTGCTAAGAGAACAAGTAAGTTCATCCTGGAGAGGGTAAAGCCAGGCTGCTCCTTGGAGGCAAGGATTCTGAAGCTTCATCTGAAATACTTTGGACATGTTGCCAGGAGGGATCAGTCCTTGGAGAGGAATATCATGCTTGGGAGGGTAGAGGGACAACACAAGAGAGGAAGACCCGGTGAGCTCTGGTGGCCCAGTGGCAGGAAACGGCACTGCAATCCCAGAGGTGCGCGGTTCAAATCCACCAGATGCTCTGCTGAAGAAGGAGGAACAATTGCCTCCTGTACAGTCAGATCCAATTTGACGGTACATACATAGAAAGAATAGATAGATAGATAGATAGATAGATAGATAGATAGATAGATAGATAGATAGATAGACCCACCCAAAAAAACAAGAGAGGAAGACCCTTGATGAGATGGACTGATTCAGTGATGGGGTAATTGGAGCAGGTGTGTCAGAAACAATAAGATTAGCACAGTACTCTTCAGCACCACAATCCAAAGGCATTGATTCTTCTTCCATCACCCTTATTCAACTTTCAGATGCACAGAAAGTAACTGAAAAGACCATGGCTTGATCAGGCACATCTTTGTCTTTAAGCTAATATCCTTGCCTTTTTGGCAATTTGGAGAAGTCATTGACAGCAGATTTTCTAATACAGCACGTCTTTTGATTTTTGACTACTACTACCATGGGTATTGATTGTGGATCCATGTAAAATAAAATTGTTGACCACTTCAATCTTTTCTCCATCTGTCATGTTGTCACTAAATGGCCCAGTGGTGAGGCTTTTTGTTTTGTTGATACCAACATGTAATTTATAGTAAAAGGCAGTAGACTTGGATCTTCTACTTAAAGTGCTTCAAACTCTCTTCACTTTTTGCAAACAAGATTGTATCATAATGCATATCATGGATGAGTTTACTTCTGATCCTGGTTTCACATTTTTCTTCATAAAGTCCCACTTCTAGAATTATTTTCTCAGTACACAGATTGAGTAGATATGGAAAAAGGATATCATCCTAATGTAAACCTTTCTCGATTTTAAACCATGCAGTATTCCCTTGTTCTTTTCAGTCAAGAGCTTCTTGGTCTAGGTCTAGGTCCCACATGACTAAATGTGTACACACATGCTTCCATTACACTCTAAAATGTTATCCAAGCTGCATTTTTAAACAGTATCTCAAAAGTTCACTATTAGAGTTGTATTCCTATTATTAATACACACACATGTCTATGTTCTGGTAAAGGAGCCATGGTGACACAATGCTTAAGCATTTGACGCAGTTCAAACCTAGAGATCTCTAGGAGAAAAGCCCTGTTGATCCTTATTACAAATTAAGAGTGACATACGCATTGCACTGTAATAGAGACAGAAACATCTCTGCTCAGCTCAAGGATGACAATTGACCAAGCTGCTTTGAAGGTGTCTTACTTTCCACACGTCAAGGGAGCTCTGGTGACTCGTTGTTGTTGTTGTTGTTAGGTGCCGTCAGGTTGAGTACAACTCATAGTGACCCAAGAAACAAAAGGTCTGTCCTCTCTTGTTCCATCCTCATCATCTCTGACACACTTGGGCCCTTTGTTGTAGTCACTCTGTCAAGCCATCTATTGAGAGGGTCTTCTCTCTTTTGCTGACCTTCACCTTTCCAGGCATGATGTCCTTCTCCAAGGAATAGCTTCTCCCAGTAATGTGCCCAAAGTGCATGAAATGAAGCTTTGTCGTCTTTGCCTCCAAGGAGCATTCTGGGTGCATTTTCTCCAAGACATAACTGCTTGTTCTTTTGGCAGTGCATAGGTGGCTTAATAGTAAGAAATTGTGCTGCAAATGCATGGGTACATGGTTCAAATCCACCAGTATGAGAAACATGGACACTCTCCTCCCATGTGATTTATTGCCTATGAAAACAAACTGGAGGGTCAGCTGTGGGTAGGTTGTGACTCAATGGTATACAACACCACCACGCCTACAGTCCAAGCAATAAGTCTCTTCAGAAAAGACTTTTCTATGGTTTTTTGGAGTGTCCCTTTTCAGGGCTTTGACTTGTAATTTTTTCCCCCTTCTAACTGTTGTTTCAGTATACCCACATTTAAAAAGTTTGAGTCTGTTCTTATTTCACTGTGTCAGCCATTACTGAACCGGCTTAAGCTGGTTTCAGTTATTGGTACATCATATTTGAC